GAGAGCCAGGTTAATGCATATGCTAATTAATATCAATAATATGAAATACTGTATATGGGTTTATATGAACATTCTACTACGTTACCCAGTGCACAATAAAAATAAAGTGTGAATGGGCCTTTAAAATGTGAATGGGCCATTAATATTCTGGCCATATAGTTCAAAGGCAAGACTAATTGGTGATCACAAAGGGATAATGGGAGAGCAGATGCTTGACACAGACAAAGTTACCAAATTATAGCGTATGAACCTGCAAGAGCATTGAGGGGGTCTGGTTTGCCATACTACTAAAGGTTACAAAGAGAATGATCTCACCTAATGATATTACTATAATGATGTAAGTGTGCCTTGGAATGTGACCATACACCTCAACACTTGGCCTAGCCTAAATCCAGAGGCTTTGGTTTGCCTGCAGAGACTTTCAGACTCTGTACTAGCAAGATAGAACACTTGGCAGATATTGGAACATTCTTTCCAGTAGCTTCCCCATAGTGATGTCACAAGGATGGAGCCTCTCGGAGCGGCTCCAGAGAACACAGGTGCTGGTAAATAGTAATATCTCTTTCTTATATGGAACAAGGAAAATAGCTTTGATTGTGATGGAAAATGAATGTAGAGTTCATCCAGTTTCTTTACTCTTGGATCCAGCAGGCAGTTTTTTACTTAAATTAAAGGCAGATGTTAAAGAACACCTATGAATGCAGATATGTATTCATTAAAAAATATTTTTAAAGGTATCTAAGTACCAAAATGTGTCTTGAGATCAGCTTCCTGTATCCCCAAATCAGCTTCATTCAGACTGGAAGAGGGTGACACTATCCAGTTCTGCCAAAGTGTACCTGTAGCAGCAATGATCATCCTGACAGTAGGTGAGAGCAGAGGGATGACCATATCAGCATTTTTCTGCTCCCTCACTGAGTAATTAGAAGGCGGGGGGGTGTTATTCACTGACAGTAGGTGAGAGCAGAGGGATGACCGTATCAGCGTTTTTCTGCTCCCTCACTGAGTAATTAGAAGGCGGGGTGTGTGTTATTCACTATTGCAACTGTAGTGATGGATGTGCTGGGTACCTGAATCACAAAAGTTACTGAATCGAAATACAAATACTTGGTCCAGTAAAAGTAATTCTCATACATGTAACTTAACTATGTATTTAGCTACTGGTTTAGAATTCAGCTTTAATGTGTACCTAAACCCAAGAACAAAAATGTAACCTCTTGACACCGGCTGTATGCATATGTGTGGGCACTCGCCAGGTGAACCTTAAAGGATAAGTTCACCTTTTTGGGCAGAATTTTACTTTTCATAATAAATAGAAGCGTTTTCCAATTCCATTTCTGGCCCAGCCATCCCAATGTGCCTTTCTTTGATTTACCCCATCCACAGGACATTTAATATTTTTGTCAGATTCTGTGAGATTTTTAACAGATTTTCAGATTGCACAATTTCCTGTTGATGGTCTCTCAGTATTCAATTCCTGTAGACCACTTCCCAGAAGCCTTCACTTCCTTGCATCACAGAAGAGGGTGTGCTAGGGTGTGTTCACCACTCTGGACTATACCTCCCTTATTACAATACTACCTTCCCCCCATCAGCTATGTAGTACAAGGGCCTGCCTGATTTGATACAAATTGAATAGATTGTTCAGGCGTGTCCTTCTGTTCCATAGTTCTGGTAAATCTAAAGGAAATCATACAGATATTGTACAATCAGATTGCATAGTGTATGACCATCTTTAGTACAGGAGGAGGAGGGAGTTGGTGGAGTGTCAGGCCCCGTTCTCATCTCCATGTAGTGAAAACTCACATTCCCGCATGTGTTTTTGTTTTGGGTGTTTTGGAGCATTTTCACTCGTCACGCACAGGGTAGCACATTCACTTGAACGGGCTGCTATACATACAACAGTTGCCCCAGAAAAGCTCCAGAACCTTTTTTGAAGCAGAGTGCATTACTGAAGTTTTTGGTGCGTTTGTCGCACTTGGCGTGCCTTTAACATGTAATGACAACACAAAAACAATGCACATTTGCAGCGTGTTTCTGAAACGCTTTGCAAAGTACTCATTTTCTGTTCTTTTTTTCTTTTTTTTTTTTGCATGCTAGTCTCATATCAAAAATGAAGGATTACTAAAGTTATGAAAATTCTTGTACGACTGAATAAATATTTGGACGTAGGTATTATATTGTATTTTTGGACAAAAATTACACTGATTAAATTAAAATTGTACGATCTGGTATTGTTTCATGCTTGTCCCTTCTAATAATTTTGCACAAAATCTGTGTACTAACGATCAGATTATCATACAATCGCTTTGAAAGTGGTCTCTTTCATACGATTTTCTGATCGTGTGTACTAGGCTTTAAGCACTGGATTTCAATCAGGATCAGCAGGTATTTTTGGACCTTATGCACATGGACATGGCCATTGTCATGTTAGCACAACTACGGCTGTTTACAATCATTCTCTTGCTGGCGCAAACAGCCTGCCATGCAACTGTCTCTGGGCATGAGGACTTTCAGTGGCATATTTAAAAAAGCATATAGGCAAATAATGGTTTGGGTTTATATACAATTTAATGAGCCACTAAACTACAGTAAAAAGATAGCTCCATAAAGTTAAAGCTGTTGTAAATTTCTGAAATCAAAAATGAACAGAGCATATCCTATAGTGTTTACTAACCTCTATCCAAAGCACAGAATGTGATTTCTGTCTCCTCTATCTTTCTTCTGCTGTCTGCATTAGTCACTTTTGACAGGTTATCCCAACAACACAGAGTTTCGGGAGACAACCCCGCCCCCCTCCTCCAGCACACAGAAGGTGATTGACAGCCTCAGCTGTCCTTCTTTCCCTATGAGACTGTGTGTGTGTGTAGGGGTGTCATTCCAATCAGGTCTCAGATTACTTTCAATCCCCCGCTCTGTGCTGTGAAGTGTGTGACATCAGATCCACGTCCCTGCCTTCCTGAGCTGAAAAATAGCCTTTGAGCTCTGTGTTTTAGAAATCTGTAGAGAAGAAAATACCGCTGATAAACATGTACAACTTATGTAGGAGGATTTGTTTCATCTACTGAAGCCAGTCACTTCACTGGGTATCTGTAAGAATTTCCAACCACTTTAAGGCTTCTTGCACATTTGCTGCTTACTTTTCACTTCTGCTTGCCAGAGCTGCTGGAAGAAGAACAGCTGCCTAAAATTGAGCCTAAAGCCGCACTTCTAGTCAAGACGTAATGGTTACAGGGCTCCTGGAATATGCCTTGCACTTGTCATGTGCTTTTTATCTTATTACATATATTATGAATTCAGCGATCATCATAAAGAGTCCAGTGTCTAGCTGCTTGTCCCCAACATAAATGTAAATGAAGAATCCCCCTATGGGACTTATGCAGCAACCATGTCATTACAAAATAATGACATGGTTGCTGCATTAAAGTCCATCAGCTATAAACTTCAATGGGTTCCCAGTGGCTAAAGCTAACAGTGCCTATCTCGTATGGAAATCGATAAGAAAAACATTTCGCCTTTGTGGAAACTTTTCAGGCTATTGCAGTTTTATATGGCTATGGTGTAATGTAGTTAGACTGGTTCTGGTATAGATTATTCCTAACTTGCCTTAATTAAACTGGGAGGAAACATGGTTGCGGCAGACAGAAGGTGTTGTCAAATTGCTTAACAATTTAGCTTGTGTAACTAGAACATCAGTGAGCAACAAGTACCTCATTAAAGTGGAGTTCCACTCACACTGTAAAAAAATAAAAGTCAACAGCTACAAAAACTGTAGCTGTTGACTTTTAAAAAACAGCCACTCACCTGTCCCACGATCCTGTGGTGTCCTCCCTGCCACCCGTTTCACCAGCCATCTGGTGTTCCAGGCGCCGGCATCCTCAGTGTGACAGCTTGCAGCATTCACAGCCAGGTGCCCACTGCGCATGTGCGAGTAGTGCTGCGCTTCCTGAATGGCCTTGTAGTCTTCTGGCACCTGTCACATGTCTCAGAAGACTACGGGGCGGGACGGTAGGAGGACAACTTCTGCTTCCGATTGCCTAGACCAGGAGTGTCAAACTGGTGGCCCTCCAGCTGTTGCAAAACTACAAGTCCCATCATGCCTCTGCCTTTGGGAGTCATGCTTGTAACTGTCAATCTTGCAATGCCTCATAGGACTTGTAGTTTGGTAACAGCTGGAGGACCGCCAGCTGAACACCCGTGGCCTAGGCAATCGCAGCGGAAGTGGGAGCGGGTACCTGTCAATTTTGGGTACCTGCTCCCCCCCCCCCTCCCCAAAGGTGCCAATCCTTAATGGGGAGCGGGGGACCAGTCTTTAAAGCGGAATTTCCCCTTTTGGGTGGAGCTCCGCTTTAAGTGCAAATTTGTTGTCATGCGTTTTAGAATAAATTAGACTAAACATTGACACAACCATCAAACATATACAAATGTATCCAATGGAGCAGTATACACAATATGCTATACAAGGGGAAGGAGGGCAGTTTACCATTTGGCTGCATTGAGGTACTGCATGGATGGCTTGCTATGTAGAATATGGATGGTTCAGCCACTTGGCATCTTAACCAAACTTACAGGATGTATCAGGAGATGATATATGTGTCTAAATGTTGACCACATACTTTTGGCAAATGACATCATTTTATACTTCTGTTGCAGCTGTTAAATCAGACAGTTACACGTTAGCCTTGGTAGTCACCTTTGCTGCAAGACACATCCAGTCTTTGGATGCTACTGGCTTTCAAATGAATTCTCATTCAAAAGCTTTTCTCCCTCTACTGCTGGATGAGGGGAAGTGCACATAACATCACATATAGCCTTTTATTCGTCAAGAACTCCATTGACAAGATCACTGCCCCTGAGTTCCCAGCTCCGCCCACTTGCTGTTAATCATAAGGGAGTCTAATACGCTCTGCTGGACTTTGTTATTAACTTTACAATATCTGGATTTCAACCTGGTATTATACTGACTAAAACTCTCTCTTGTCTTTTTCCCAGGTCACTGAATGCAGCCAAGTTTTATGGAAGAACCACCTTCACTTTTATGGGGTTTGGATCCTGTGTTCCTATCACATGCCAGGTTGTATATCAAGGATATTTTAGAATTAAAGGAGTCTAATCAAGTACCAGGTAAACAATTTTGCAATTAGTCATTTGTTGAGAATTGTACCAATGTAAATGTTCTATGTTTTACGGACAGACTGAGATTGATGTGTTAGAGGCTCTGTGTTCAGAACGGTTATTTCCTCACAGCCACCAATTAGACTGAACCTTGCTCTGGAGTGTGACAGCATCTGTCTACAAGGTTGGATTTGATTGGTAGTATTGATTAAACAAGGATAGTTCTAAGTACAAAGGCCTACAGCATGTGCATGAGTATGTATATATGTAGGTATGAGTATTAATCTCCTGGGCATATGCAGATATAATCAGACAAAATGTTATTTGTCTTTGTTACTGAAAAGTCTGTTGGTGATTTACTAAGGACTAACCCTTCACTAACGAATTTGTGTTTTTAGTCATGTCCAGGGAGTGGTCCTACCCTGTAAAAGTAATCTGTAGATTTTTTTGACTTTTTACTAAACCTGTAATTGTATATTACAGTATGTATACCATAATATATACAGAATAACAGAATTTTAGAAATGTCTGTGAATTTATTAAAACTAAAAGAATATTAAATATCACATTGGCATACAGTAAGTATTCAAACTCTTTGCAACAACACCTGAAATTTAGGTCAGGTGCCTCTCATTTCTCTTGATCATTGCTGAGATGTTTCTACATCTTGATTAGAGCCCACCTGTGGTAAATTAAATTGATTTGAGAGGCACACACCTCTCTATAGAAGGACTCACAGCTGACAATGCATACTGTATCAGAGCAAAAGCCATGAGGTCAAAGGAATTACCTGCAGAGCTCAGAGACAGGATCATTCAAAGGCACAGATCTGGGAAGGCTACAAAAACATTTCTGCTGCACTGACCTCCATGATTCTCACATGGAAGAAGTTTAGCACAACCAGGACTCTTCCAAGAGCTGGTTGCCTGGCCAAACTGAGCAACTGGGGGAGAAGAGCCTTAGTAAGAGATGTGACCAAGAACCCGATGGCCACTCCTACTGAGTTCCAGAGATCCTGTGCGGAGATGGGACAAAGTTCCAGACGGACAACCATCACTGCAGTCCTCCACCAATCTGGCCTTTATGGCAGAGTGGGTAGATGAAAACAAAATACACGAAAGCCCGCTGAGAGTCCTTCAGGTGCTTTTTTGCAAACTCCACTTGTCTTTAATGCACTTGCAAGAGAAACAACTTTTATTTGCACTAATTTCCAAATTTTCAGGACTAGCTTTTTGGGTGCACCCCTGTCGTCAAGGTCCAAGCAGTACTATTTTGCTACTACTAATAACATTTGTACTGCTTGGACCTTTAAGAAAGGGATGCACCCCAAAAGCTTGTCCTGAAAATTTGGATGTTAGTGCAAATACAAAAGTATCACAGACAGAACTCAATTGTTTCTGTGTCAATGGAACTCTTCTATTTAGCAAACTCTCTACCTCACTAATTGCATTTATCCCAGCAAATGTGAGAGTTCCATACAAATTACTTTTAAGAAAAACCTACAATAATTCAGTAGTATGTTTTCCTTTGACTGCACATGATGGTCTCTTTAAAGTGAACACAGATTACACTAAATTTAACAAAACAATTATTATTTACTATTCCTCGTCCTAATATTATTAATGTTATTAGTAACATTCATTTAGTCATTAGTAAATCAAGCCAAAATGCATTGAAGTGTTTATGCTGCATGTTTGCTGTCTTCTAGTACTAGAGCAAACTAGACATGTGCATTTCATTTCATTTATTTTCATTTTGCGGCCAAAAATTTCATTTTTGGAGATTCAGATGTATACAAATCTCTGAATGGACATAGTAACGAATGTCGATGAATCCGATAAAGAGTTATAACAAAATGAACAAATGCATTTGTTTCATCTGTCTGATGTCGCATAATGCGACATGGTTTGGGCCCATGGGGAAATGAATTAAAATGTCGAATTCGGATAACGAATGGATCTGAATTTCCTTCCATTCATTATTTCTGATTTTCATAACGTCAGTTGATATTCTCCAATCAGCTCATGGCATTTCTCTTGGTGGGTTTGACTCCGATTTTAATTATCTGATTCGATAATACATCAAATATATAGCAATCTTCCAGAAAAATTGCTAACTTTTTCGAATCCACCTGAACCAACCAATATACAGTGGGGCAAAAAAGTATTTAGTCAGCCACCAATTGTGAAAGTTCTCCCACTTAAAAAGATGAGAGAGGCCTGTAATTGGCATCATAGGTAGACCTTAAGTATGAGAGACAAAATGAGAAAAAAAATCCAGACAATCACATTGGCTGATTTGGAAAGAATTTATTTGCAAATTATGGTGGAAAATAAGTATTTGGTTAATATCAAAAGTTCATCTCAATACTTTGTTATATATCCTTTGTTGGCAATGACAGAGGTCAAACGTTTCCTGTAAGTCTTCACATGGTTGGCACACACTGTTGCTGGTATGTTGGCCCATTCATCCATGCAGATCTCCTCTAAAGCAGTGATGTTTTGGGGCTGTCGCTGGGCAACACGGACTTTCAACTCCCTCCAAAGGTTTTCTATGGGGTTGAGATCTGGAGACTGGCTAGGCCACTCCAGGACCTTGAAATGCTTCTTACGAAGCCACTCCTTCGTTGCCCGGGCGGTATGTTTGGGATCATTGTCATGTTGGAAGACCCAGCCACGTTTCATCTTCAGTGCCCTTGCTGATGGAAAGGGGTTTGCACTCAAAATCTCACGATACATGGCCCCATTCATTCTGTCCTGTACATGGATCAGTCGTCCTGGTCCCTTTGCGGAGAAACAGCCCCAAAGCATGATGTTGCCACCCCATGCTTCACAGTAGGTATGGTGTTCTTTGGATGCAACTCAGCATTCTCTCTCTTCCAAACACGACGAGTTGTGTTTCTACCCAAACAGTTCTATTTTGGTTTCATATGACTATATGACATTCTCCCAATCCTCTTCTAGATCATCCAAATGCTCTCTAGCAAAGTTCAGACGGGCCCGGACATGTACTGGCTTAAGCAGGGGGACACGTCTGGCACTGCAGGATCTGAGTCCCTGGCGGCGTAGTGTGTTACTGATGGTAGCCTTTGTTACGTTGGTCCCAGCTCTCTGCAGGTCATTCACTAGGTCCCCCCGTGTGGTCCTGGGATTTTTGCTCACCGTTCTTGTGATCATTTTGACCCCACGGGGTGAGATCTTGCGTGGAGCCCCAGACCGAGGGAGATTATCAGTGGTCTTGTATGTCTTCTATTTTCTAATTATTACTCCCACAGTTGATTTGTTCACACCAAGCTGCTTGCCTATTGCAGATTCAGTCTTCCCAGCCTGGTGCAGGTCTACAATTTTGTTTCTGATGTCCTTCGACAGCTCTTTGGTCTTCACCATAGTGGAGTTTGGAGTGTGACTGTTTGAGGTTGTGGACAGGTGTCTTTTATACTGATAACAAGTTCAAACAGGTGCCATTGATACAGGTAATGAGTGCAGGACAGAGAAGCCTCTTAAAGAAGAAGGTACATGTCTGTGAGAGCCAGAAATCTTGCTTGTTTGTAGGTGACCAAATACTTATTTTCCACCATAATTTGCAAATAAATTCTTTCCAAATCAGCCAATGTGATTGTCTGGATTTTTTTTCTCATTTTGTCTCTCATAGTTGAGGTCTACCTATGATGCCAATTACAGGCCTCTCTCATCTTTTTAAGTGGGAGAACTTGCACAATTGGTGGCTAACTAAATACTTTTTTGCCCCACTGTACAAATGCCAGAGATACAAAATGAATTACTAAAAACAAATCAGGTCAACATAATTAACATTATGAAAATTCTTCAATGACCGAATTCATCCGAAACTAAACGTAACATAAATTTCCGGCATGCACCTGTCTAGAGCAAATCTTGTGAATATCTTTAGATATGTAATCTACTGTATGTATTCAGAATGATCTATCTATCTATCTATCTATCTATCCATCTATCATTTTGCTATGTGATTGTACAGTCTTTGCTGCCCAGGTTTTCTGTTTGTGAATCATATTATCCAACACTTGTCATTAATCATTTATCTTCCATAGGTATATTTTTCTACAAAGACCATCCTATCAAACAGGTCGACATCTTAGGAACTGTTGTGTGTGTAAGGGAAAAGGATGCCTTCTACAGTTATGGAGGTATTATGGATCTTATCTGTCATTATTTATTTTGTATAACCACTGTTGTTGCTTTCCCTCAAACAAGCAGATGTTTCTTTGTTTCTTTTTCTGTAATAGTCTTTTAGATGGCCCAATAGGTTCAAGACTTCAGTTCAAGACTGGAGGATAGTAGATCGCTCACAAATTCTCCAAACTATTTAGAAATGTCACTGGGTCTCAACAGCACTGGTGGATTCCAGCAGGGTTTATTACTAGAACTGATGGCTGTCAATCAGGAGTGTAACAGCAGATCATGAGGCACCTTAGAAAAGTTTTGATTTATCCCCCAGCAACCTCTCTTTGTGACACTGTGACAGTACATGTCATTGGTCATAAAGTATGAATAAATCATGTACAGGCAGCATTAGAGCTGTCCGCGCAAATTTAGTACACCATTAGAGATCAGTGCTGAGGATAGACATTGTCAGATAATAGGGAGCAGAGTACTCATTTTTTAAAACTTAATTCTCCAGCTATCTACTCTGTCATTAGTCACCACTTTTTTATAGCATTTTAGATCTTAGGGCCTTAGTCCTGAGGCCTTAGCCACAATTACTGTATGTCCTTAATACAAACTTTTTTGGAGATTCCTTATTCTGCATTTTTGCAGAACTACGAACCCCAGTCTTATCAGATCACAGCTGATAAGATACTCTGGGATGTTTGACTGCATTAGGCATACATTGTTAATACATTGGTAATTTCCATCTGATGGGCTATTGCAGAAGTTTGCAAGGCAATAAATCTACAATGCTAAAACAGCTACACTAATGTTCCTTACTACAAAAGAGGTTAATCTCTGACAAGAAAACAACAATCATGATGATTCCTCTTGGAGACTTCACAGTTTGCCTCAACATCCTTTTTTATTAGGGCTCTCTCTTCCTACCCCAGGCCTTATAGCAGTTGCATAGACATCTATGGCTATGAGGAACTGCTGTGGCACCATTACAATTAGCAGTTTTTGTGATTTTTTCATCCATGTTTAGATCCTCCAGGTCTTTGCATGTAGAATTAGCTAACTTATAGGAACTAAGGGAGCCTGGAGTCCTTGGTGTTTTTATTATACAAGTGAAGACTTCAGCTTCAAAGTCAGAAATGTGTCCTCAATTCCTCCTGCTTCCCACACATCACTATCAGTCAGTGGGGTACTGCCACCGTTATAAGCCAATAGAATAATCAATATTTGAAAAGTGGATGCTTTAGCCAATGCCTTGTTACAAAGTGGTTCTACTTTATTTTATTGTGTTATTATTGATGAAGAATTTATAGAATTGATTTGAAAAAGTGGCCTTGGGTCATCCATTAATCTGTAAATTAATGTTAAAGGAAAATATTTTTTTAAACATTTAAATGTATAATGTTAAGATGACTAACATGACAAAAATTGATTTTGAAAAATTTAATTTTCTCACATAAATGTATATATAGACCCACTCCCCAACATGGCTGAATTAATTTTCTTTTTTAGGCTTCCTTTCTTCTATTTTCATTTGGTGATCCAGCCAGTAAATCTGTTGTTTTTGAAAAGATCAGTTTATCAGTTTACTGGCAGGGGTGGTTACAACGATCAGCTTTTATTTATCCATGTAAAACCTTTATCCCAAAAAGAAAAAACTGTTTGCTGTAACTGCTTATAAAGTATTAGCTGGAGGTTGGCTTACATTTGTTAGTATATTTACATCTGCTAGCACATTTAACACCCCCTCCCCTCAGACTGGCAATGCTGCTGTCTGTGGTGCCCCCTGTGCTCTTTCACCCAGAGTGGAGGTTATTGGCCAAAACACCTGGTGAAAAAAGCCTTACAAAGAAAACAAGTGCATCCACCACATCTAATGATTGGTAAGCTGTAACCAGGGGCGGACTGACCATTTGGAAACTTGGGCACTGCCCGAGGGCCCGGGGTCAGTAGGGGGCCCCATGAGATGCCCCTGGTACCTTTTTCTTTGGCTTTTTTGAGTTTGGGCAAAGACACAGGGGCCCCATTATCCCCTATTGCCCGGAGGCCCCATGAGTTGTCAGTCCGCCCCTGGCTGTAACGTATAAACTTTTTGGTTTTGGGTTTAATACCACTTTAAGGACTCCTATGCCGCTGCAGCCTTTCAATGTCCCTGTATCACTGAAGCTTATCCTAATGACAGGGCATTCAGATGCAGTCAAGAGGCTGTCTAATAATCCTCTTTTGGTTTGGAGCTTTTTGAAGAGTCTTCATTGTTGTTTTCTTATTAGTTGCTGAAGCAGGCCTTTCAAAAGACAACACTGAGCAGCCACACCACCTCTCCCTTTACTGTGCAGAGCCATTGTTTGTTAAGATCACAAAGGAATGTCCTTTCAGCAGCAAGGAGATTTTTAATGTAATATTTAGGATTGTGATGGGGGTATGGGCCAAAGAGACAAGAAATCATTTTTTTTTTTTCCTTTGCATTTTGTCATACAAAAAGGAGGAGAGGATACAGCCCAACTACAGCAGAACATTCTAATGAATTTGGGGCAGACACTGAAATTTGTTCACCAGAGGCACAATGGAATTCTAAACTACACTACACACTTCGGTCTCTTTCACATGAGTAGCTGGTAAAAGCACCAACCACCCACCTAAGTCTACTATACAGTTATTATTATTATACAGTATTTATATAGCGCCAAAAAGTTTGCTCAGCGCTGTACATTATAGTGGGGGACAGTACATGAGACAATACAGTAAAAATACAATACACGAGGGGCTCGAGGGCCCTGCTCCTTGGAGCTTACAATCTAGGAGGGAGGGGATAGTGGTACAGGAGGAAATGGCTGTGGGGGATGGAGTGGTAGTTGGAAGGGGAAGCGGCTGTGATGCTCTGTCTTGGGCCCATAGCAAATTTAACTTGGTATGCTGTGTTGCCAGGCAAAATAGATAATTAGAAAATGTTTATTATTCTATAAAAAAATCTTTAACAGCAATGTAATCTGTTTAAAGTGGTTGTAAACACTTACAGATACCCAGTGAAGTGACTGACCTCAGGTGATACACAGAGCTGAAAAAATCCTCCTACATAAGTTGTACCTGTTTATCTGAAGGATCTCCTTTCTACATCCTTTCCAGAATTTAAAAAACTTGTCTGAGCTTTCAGACAACAGGGGGTGGAGAGCTAAAATACACACTGCAGAGCTCAGTGAGGAGAGCTGATTGGAGGGAACGGACACACCCCTCTTAACCTAGCACACAGGAACAGCCCTGAGGTTGTCAATCACAGGCTATGAGCTGGAGCTCCATTGCTTGTCACCTTTTTTCTTTTGGTGTCAGGAAAACTATCATGCTGATAGCAGAGGAACGAAGCATCAGAAAGAAATGACACTATTAACTGCACTTTACATGAGACAAGTACACTCTATAGAGGGATATGTTTTGTTCATATTTCATGTCTGAGGTTTAAAACCACTTTAAGGCCATTTATTGTACAAAAGCAGATCATGGTATGACAAAACCCATTTAAACTAGACCCATCATTAATCCCAAGGAACACTATCATAGATTTAGAATATAATTATCAATCCCAAAACAAATATCCAGAATAGAGATTGAAAATACAGACCTCAACACCATGAACATATGTATGCACCATAATATACGAATAGATACAAAATGGAAACTTTAGGTTAAATACTGTCATAGCTTCATATGTCAACAGCATGTAATACTGGCAGAAATATTATGTTTTAGCACATTTATCAGCCACTCAATATTCAGTATACAGTATGTGATGCTAGAAAGAAGTTCCCATGTTGGATCATGGATAAAGAAAAAGTTCTCCTCAAGCAGGGAATAAAAAGTAGGATGTGCTAATGATTCTCTCCGCTGAATTGTGAGATACTGAATGTATATCACAAAACAGTCCATAGACATGCCTTTTAAACCCAAGCTGTTAAGCCTCTCAGCTGATATATATACTGTGTGCCAGTGGCGGACTCACAACTCATGGGGCCCCCCCGGGCAATAGGGGATCATGGGGCCCCTGTGTCCTTGCCCAAACTCAAAAAAGCCTATGAAAAAGGTACCAGGGGCATCTCATGGGGCCCCCTACGGACCCCGGGCCCTCGGGCAGTGCCCGAGTTTCCAAATGGTCAGTCCGCCCCTGCTGTGTACATTCCTTAGGGCAAAAGGCTATGTCTCCTTCCACAAACATATCATTTAATCCCTTAAAGACCTTTAAGTACTCTGTGGAAGCTGAATGTTGCAGGAGAAACTGGTCAGACACTTGTTTTTTTCTATGTTGCAGTCTACATTTTAGTGATTTTGGTTTTGTTTTATCTAAGTCACAACAGACTCCGGAGAGGTAAGGGGTTTGTTAGGCCCTTAAATTTAGGGTGTGTTAAGAAAAAAATGGGGGGGAGACAGAAGGCAGAAGGATGCCTCCTGAATTCCTGACTGCATCTGCTTAGCAGCATCCTGTAAAGCGACTCACTATAAATCACGTCGTGTGATAAGCATAAGTGCAATTGTCATGGTCAACTGACCGAAAGAGACAAAAGGACATTGTGCAGGATTGTGACCCGGAATAAGAAAACAACTTCTGCAAAAGTGACTGCAGAGCTCAATCCCAGTCTTCACAGGACAACAATTTGCCCTCTTTGAAGCTAGTAAGCTCTGACATGACTCTGTATTATTAGCAGCTCACGCAGTGAATGACAAAAAGTGCTTACCTGGCCTAAAGCCTTATAAGTTCACTGCTTAATCACCACTCAACCATTCAGGTGTTAAGGAATAGGCTTACCTTTGGAACATGTTAATGTTCAAATGGTATTTTGGGTGGAACATGTAACATGTTCCAGCTCCTTCCTCCTCTCCACCTAATCCCCCCCTCCCTCTGCCAGGCGGGGGTTCTTCTCCCCACACCAGCTGTCAGAATTTTTAAAAGCAGTGCAGCCTTCCAGGGCTCTGCCCACATGGCTACATCATTCATTCACACAGTTCTGTGAATGAATAAACTACAAGTACCATTGGCCACTACGGTCAAGGGATTGTAGTTCTCAATGAATTACGGGGGCTCTGGTGAGCGCTCTCATAGTTCTTTCATTCTTCCTGCCATTCAGAAACTGCCTGTCCATTTGAGGCATGGCACCCTTGATCAGCCTTACAGTAAAAAAATAATAAATGCACATTTATTTGCCTGCAAACATATCTGCTATTATTATTATTTTATTTTTATTTTTTATAAAAGGTGAACTTGGCCTTTACCTTGCATTTTCTAATCCATTCTGGGGAAAGACATCTGGATCCTAATAGGTGTTCATTCACCTCACTTTTTTTTGTGTGTGACTTTTTATAATAATTTCTTTCAGCTTAGTATAGATTTTGTCAGTGAACTGGAAAGAAGGTGTCTGTTCATTAGCTTGTGACTTCTGTATTTGTTTGATTACATAAACAATCCACCCTTTTTTCATCACATCTTTCATTGCTCTCCTGTTTTTAGGCCACCTGCCAAGCTGCCCCACCCTTCTCTTTCCTCCTTCGAAATCTGGCTGACGCCAACTAATGGATTGGTTTCCTGCTGTAGCCCTGAGCTTTTGTCACCATAACAATTAAAGCCTCAGCAGCATGGCATGTTGGTAGACTCCGTTCAATTATTTGCCATATCTTCGTATGTGAAGGATACCTGTGATGATCTTTGGTCACTGTACACGTGATTTAAATGTATTTTTTGTCTATTTTCTCATTTAGTGGATGATAGCACTGGAGTTATCAACTGCACTTGCTGGAAGTCCTCTGCAGCCAAAGATAGGCCTTCAGGTGAAAATATTTTTATTCATAGCAACTCTGTCATCGAAGATCAAAGCATCCTGCAATCAAAGAGATTTGTGAGACAAATTAAAGTGTATGTAAATGAAAACATGAAAAAAAAAATGTTCATATATAAAAAATGTTTTTTTGAGCCGAACGTCTCTGGTTGTATTGCGGGCTTATTTTTTTAGCATTTGTACGCACATTTTTGCTAATTTTTAAAGACATCTAAAACTTGAGCATGTTTTGAAATTAATTTTGACCAATGAAAATTGGTCTAACTAATTACCAGGGAAAAAGCAGGCAATATATGCACTGCACATTTTGCAGGTGTTCCTATTGAAGTCTATTGGGGCCAAGAGCACTTGAAGCTTGCAGCTCAAAAAGAAGCTCATGTACTTACTTTGTTGAGCATTTTGAGGCTTCAAGTTACAAAGCACTCAGGTTCCGTTCACACCTGATATCATCGCGTTTTTGTGACGCGTTTTTGGAGCTGCATTTATTTTTGAATGGACCTCCCTCTGTTCCTAAAATGCACTAAAGAAGCTTATGTACCAAATTTTGGCATTGAGCCAGGCACATTTTGCTTTGCGTGTTGCATGGATGAGAATCACGGCAAAATCGCACCTCGTTTGGGATGCCATTAAGAAATAATAGCACCGCAAGAACGTTGCACATTTTGCTATGATTCTGCAATCGGAGGCAGAATCATGTGTTTCTGTCAACTATTCCAGTACGCTCAGGTGTCAACAGGGCCTTAGGAATGGATGGGGTCTTACTGTTCCAATCTTTTTTCTTACAAAAGTTTCACAAATACCTGGTGATCCTGCCAGTAAAAAGATCTACAGTATAATTTTTATGGTATATTCTATGTGTAGTTTGCCTTTATGATTCATTTCCCAAATAAAAACTAGTTTCCATGCTCATCCATTTAAGCAAATTAATTGGATGTTTGTATGAACTTTATTGACTTATGCAAAACAAGCACTTGAAGTGCTGAGAGCTGCGCACAAGCCTCTGATGCAGGAGGACATCAGAAACATATCCCGTCCTGCCGTTTATGTACATGGGCCAGATGGGAAGTGGTTACATTGATGAATTATATTATTTTCATGTATGTGTAAATCTTTATTTTTATTTTGCAAATAAATATTTATTGCAGGGTGTACCCTTGGGAATCGGTGTCACAAAACATTTTGGGTTTTTAAAGAGAGTGTAGCAGAAGCTGTTTGCCTTCAGAATCTCTCTCGTGCTCAAACTCTGTATGGAGCAGCACAGAGCAGGGAAGGAAGGGGAAACGGCTTGTTTTTTGACTAATTCAGCTTTGTGTGTAATCTAATGCAAAGTCACAGAATTGGGTGGATCTGTAACAGCCTGGGACCAGAGGAATTGAGTTGAATTAATCTGGGTGTCATTCAGCCTGAAAGGCTGATGACATTTAGTGGTGGGAAGAAGCACTGCAGAGGACAGCTTCAGATTTAGAGCTGAACTCTGGCCTTACTTTTTAGTTTTATGCAGTTGTAAAGGTTCTTCTCCTGTACTCTCCTGAGGTTGCAGGATCTGATTTCCCTGCACACTGTTAACTTCTCAAAGTGGGAATTAAACTTTACAGCAAGTCAGACAGAGCCTTACTCATTTCCTTGCTGATGGATATAAAGCATCATCCAGCGCTTTCTTCCCCATCCTTACTGTCCCTGGCCCACCTTTTATTTTTTTGTATTTCAATTCTTTCAGTCATGTGGGCTTAACATCCCATATGGGCATTACCATGGCTTTCGGTTTCCAAAAACTGTGTATAACACTCTACCAGCCCCTCCCATCAGCCATGATCTGCCTGTATTGCATAGAGAAGTGTAAAGACCTAGTGATCAGATGAGAACACTAGGTCTACAATAGGATATATAATGAAAACAGGTTTTATATATATATATATATATATATATATATATATATAAACTGTATAAAATTTTCAGCTTTAAGGAATGTATTGCAGTCTGATCTGTTTTTTTATCTTAATGTGCCAATATTTATTAATGGTTTTGACTGGTGTTCTGAGCCAGAGAGAATATTAGCTTTCTATAAAAGATCTTGCTAAGCTATTTTCATTTTATGGCAATGCTAATTAATCAGCAACCTATCTACTGTATGCTGTTTAGTATCTGGCAGAAAAAGGCACCTCTGAGAATATTGCCACCCTCTCCTCCCCCATGTCTGTTTTGTTTCTTCTCCTCATCCAGCATGCCCTCATATTCTGCAGCTATGCTGCTGATCTCATCAAGACACACTGGTTTAGTTGGTGTTGAAGACTGACTGATTGTTTTCTCATGCTAATTGAGAGTAAGAAGTACTTACTGTACATTGTCTCCTGTAACCAGTGTCTCTCCAGATTTGCAGAATTTTAAAAGCAAATATTACTTAGGCTGAGACTCCAGTTTTCAATGTACTGTGGTCAACAGGCTTAGTGCATTTACCTTGCTGTACAGACAATCTTCATCATGCAGTTTTGTAAAAATTGTATGATATTTTGCTTTGGAAAAATTAAAGGGGTTGCAAGAGCCACAGGCACACCCTACATGCACACATGTCGATCAGCGTATGCACGTTTATAGAAATATATACCAAAAATATATGTTTTAGAGGCAGATAATGCTGACTTTCCAACCGCAATTCCATTTTAGAAAAGAAACTAAAAACAAAAGTGAAATCATTGGTGATCAATTAGAATTCCTGTTTAAAGCTGAACTCCAGGCAGATATATAAGAAACAAATTAAAGTGATTCTAAGGGTTGAATAAAAAAAAGGATAAATAACAAACATGTTATACTTACCGGCTCTGTGTAATAGTTTTGCACAGAGCAGCCCCGATCCTTTTCCTATGGGTACCCTCTGGCAGTCCTAGCTCCTCCCCTGCACTGAGTGCCCCCAATAGCCAGCCTCTTGCTATGGGGGCTTCCGAGCTGTGCTCCTGTAAATGGACATTGTTAATTCACACACAGAGCATGTCTCGGCCCCACGTTCTATCCTCATTGCCCCCCTGTTCTATCCTCATTGGCTCGCTGGCTGTGATAGAATGCATGAAGAATAAAAAAAAAAAACCTTCTGCCTTTAGAACCACTTTAATGCACCTCTGTATTCATTATTACACCTTTGAATGTATTATGTAAATACAAACACTGTAAGTGCCTGAATTTGACTTAGCATCAGTGTGTTGCGCACTTTGTAAAGCAGAGCGCAGACTGGGAGAGGAAGAAACGGCACAAGGAATAAGTTGTGCTGCAGTGCTTGTGTGCTAACAAAGAATGTGCTGATAGGAGGAGAGAGCAGAGTGATAGATGAGCTCATCAGTCTGCTTGTTTTCTTTTCCCTGTCCAGTCACCGGGTGGAGGTGGAGGTGGAGAGGTGATTGGGAAGTGTTACTGAATTGCAATAGAAAAAAATCTGGTCTCCTGCCCTGCCTGACAGGGCAGTACCATATGGAAAAGCTGTGTAACTTTTAGGACTGGATGGACAGAAATACAAATCTTTTTGGAGCTACAACTGTTCCCTTAATGTGTTTTATCCTATTTTTAGGTGTTCGCCTGCAGTTAAGATTTAATTTTCGCTTAGAACAAAAGGTTAAACATAATTGGTTGCTACCTTTCATGCTCCTTTTCCTTTCCCCAATTTAGAGAATCAACCCTCGTGTTAACTTGTCATTTTAATTCCAGGGTGAAACCAGGTCATATATCTGTTTTATATCATTAAAGTAAAGTCTTCCAGTAAATTCTCTATTCTTTGATCTTGTGTTTGCAGACATTCACAGAAGTACATCGGGAGCTAATGACCTAGATGGACTAGTGCAAGAACTGCACCGACAGGAAAGCAGTCAGGCCAAGATGGAAATTGGCGATGTTATCCGAGTCCGAGGCTACATCAAAGTTTTCAGAATGCAGAGAGAGGTGGTGTCTTCTATTTTCTGTGAGGAGAACTTCATTTTACAAATGAGATGTTTGTTTATGCTTGTATGATTTGTGTTAGATATCAGCTGGCATTTCTGGCACAAGTTTGGCATTTGTCTGCCCACACACATGCATTTCATTGCCTTAGCTGGCTTTTGCTATCCATCTGTCTCATGAGTTTAAGGGGAAGCTTCAGGCAGATGGCTAAATACACAATTAAATCACATATATGTGTACTATTTTATCTAACAAAGGATTTTCAATTCTGTGCAGCCAATTTTGTGATTTACAGACATTCTCCACACTGCAAATCCAGATAGCTGGCAAATATAATTCCTGATTGAGCAATCCATCTTCGTGGTTCAGCAGTTCAATGTCATCTGCCTCCTCACTGGACAGTGAAACAGCATTGCCTGTACAATAGCAGGGTAAAGGTGACCCAGCGAGCAGTAATATTTAACCATTTATTGACAGAGTTCCACTTTAAAGTGGCTGTAAACCCTTACATATACTCCGGGAAGTGACTGGCCTCAGGTGATACACAGAGATTAAACAAATCTCCTACATAAGTTGTAGCTGTTTATCTGTGGTCTTCTCTTCTCTACAGCCATTCAAAGTCCACTGTTTCTATAGCTTGTCTGAACTTTCAGAAAGCATGAGGTGGGGAGTTGAAGTTACTACTCAGTGAAAGCTGATTGGAGGGAAGGGACACCCCCCCCCCTTTACACAGCACAGAAACGGACCTGAGGCTGTCAATCACAGGCTATGTGCTGGAGCTCTTTCCCCTGTCAAATTTTTATCCATTGGTGTCAGGAAAACTTATGAGAAGTGACTCATGCTGATAGCAGAGGAACAAAGCAACAGACAGGAAAGACATTTTATGCATTGGATTGAGACAAGTACACATTATAGAGGGAATATGCTTTGTTCATATTTCATATCAGAGGTTTACAACCACTTAAAAAGACTGCCATCCATTGGAAATAGCAGGAAAGCTTTTCATATGTTTGCATGATAATTATCACAGTTAGCACACACTGGGAATGTTTACCCGAAGGCACCAAGTTCAGTCAAAAGGGAAACTGAGCACGTTTGACATTTTTTTTTCTGAAGATTCCTTCTGAGATCATCACATTACTGTCATTTACATGGATACCCATTTCATTATATCCTTTCATTTGGAGCGGTGTCAGGTATAAACAAATATCACTGCATAATCAGATTGCAAAGTCTAAAGCCCTACTTTGACCACTCAGAAACCACAGTCTCACCATCTGCTAAACTGCATGACATGTTCTAAGCTTTTTTAGAGAATTGACAGCGTGAATATGCCTGCTACTGGTAGCAACTCCACTGAACTCTAGTCTTTATAAATGAGTCACAATATTATTTAGTTTGGGTTTAAAGTTGAATTAAACCTTTGTTTTTAATTTTGGATAGAGTATGGAAGGGTTACACTCCCTGTCAGTTTCCTTTTTACTATCTGTGTCCCATGGGGTGAGTGTTACCTTCACTTCTTGGTCCTTGGCCAAAACAGGAAGTCAAAGGAAAGCCTCCAAAGCAAGGTAATCCCTGGTTGTCCTCAGATCTAGTGTCCCCATTGGACGGTTTACCTCTAGTCTTGTTTTGGTAACAACCCAAAATGTGTGATTTTCTTTTACTTTTGGTGATAATGATAATGTAGACAAATAGAGGGGATGAATCTTCCTAACGGGGCACAGACAGCAATAAAAACATGTATTCTAATCCCTCTCTACTCCATCCAAAACTCAAACATTGTGCCTTAGTTGTACTTTAATATCAGAACTGGTAAAGACTGTACAGTACACCGTGAACCATCTTGGATCAAAAGAACTGTCTGACAAATTATAAAACGTTTTGCCTGTAGTTATTCTTTAGTTTCCAAGAGCCAAAAGGTGCCATACACAGTTCGGATTTTGACTAATTCATGCTGAACCGATCTGAGCGATGGCTGCCTCTGCCCCTGCCCCAGGAGATAGGTAAATGTCCTACACCTATAGCAAGGGCATTATTCAACTTTGGTGAAAGCTGCACAGTTTGTTTGTTTTTTTTACTGACGCCCTTTATCTACAGCACATAGGCATTTTTTTTGTCAAGGTGAACTATGCCTTTAATTAATAAATACACAAGTTACAGCCTTCTGTTTCAGTTTTGTTCACTTACTAGAGTAACTTTTGTTTAATAAATTCATTTTTTGCCTTAGATAAAGTGGATGATCCCACGCTTGACATGCAGATTATGAGGATGCTTGAGCTGCCTTATCTCTATAAACATGTCTATGACAAACCTTTTATTCTTCCCGATCACATGACGGATCAATCCCTGGAGCAACCGTAAGTCATATAGTTTCTATAGTAAATGGAAATTTCAGAAAGCATCTAGGAAACATACCAGCTACAATTGTAAAATATTTATTTAGAAAACAGGCAGTTACAGGAATTTATAACAGACTGGGTGAGGAATTTCCCATCAAATCAGCTTGTTCTCCAAATATATGCTGCTTAACTGCGGAAGTGCAACTGTTGCTCTTGGATGCTCAGTCTAAACAATGAGTGCGTGTATATATATATATATATATATATATATATTTGTCAGATATAGAGAGCATAGAGAAGCATTTTTTTTTAATTCAAGCCATGGAAGAGGTCCTTTTTTACCTCCAAATATATTATCTTATATTAGGCATCCTATTTAAACATGTATACTGATTCATTGATTCATCAGTGCCTAAGTGGTTAGCATTTCTGCCGGGCAGCACTAGGGTTCGAATCCCAACCACGGCACCACCTGCCTGGAGTTTGCATGTTCTCCATGTGCCTGCATGGGTTTCCTCCCACACTCCAATGACATGCTGGTAGGTTAATTGGCTCCTGTCTAAACTGGCCCTGGTATGTGTATGTATGAATGTGAGTTTAGGACCTTAGATTGTACACTCCTTGAGAGTCAGGGACTGATGTGGATGTACAATATATATAAAGTACTGCATAAATTGACGGCGCTATACAAGTACCTGAAATAAATAAATAAATTGTGCTATTTAATAATGGGTCCACTTTAAAGCTGAACTCCAGTCATACCCTCAGTCTTGCACAGTTGTACAGGCTCCTTTTCTGTACTGAGACTGCTCACTCTGGTTTCACTGTACCTTGTGAGCATCTTATGTTGTGCATTAGAACAAGTCAGAGCCTGCCTGATTTCCTGGATAAAGGACATCCAGCCTCTTCTAGAACTTTCCTCCCCAGCTTTCCTGCCTTTGCACTGCCCCTGTCATTCATTGAATTTCAGTTCTTTCAATCATGAAAGTGTTACCTTGGGCAGTCTGTATATAAATGCAAACTGCCTAGGAATGCCCACTCCTCCAAACTGACACCCACCCATGAAGGGATTTTTATATTTGCATAACTTCTCTTCTAGAACTTTCCTCCCCAGCTTTCCTGCCTCTGCACTGCCCCTGTCATTCATTGAATTTCAGTTCTTTCATTCATGAAAGTGTTACCTAGGGCAGTCTGTATATAAATGCAGACTGCCTAGGAATGCCCACTCCTCCAAACTGACACCCACCCATGAAGGGATTTTTATATTTGCATAACTTCTCCCAAGATTCAGCCCGCTATGTGCATCAGAGCTGAGGGCTCTTGAGAAGAGTACTGAGGCAGGGAGCTGTGATTTTTTTCAGGAAGCTATGTACAGCACCTTGCCAGAACCTCCCATGATCTGCCTGCATTGCATAGAGAAGCAGATACACAGCAACAATTTCACTTGGTTTAAAAAGAAGGTATGTAATGAAAGCAAGAAGGTTTTATTTAGAAATCTCATTAAAGAATATGTAAACCCAACATTTCATATTCCTGATATGTGCCTGTTTCATGTACTTGTATGAAAAAGTATGCTGTTCTCTTTGTATTGCTTCCTTTGTGTGTAATCCCTGGTGTTCCTGCCAGTCCCCATGCTTTCCTATTATTAACTGACCACACTAGGCAGGAGAGCATAGCATGGACAGTTTTCTGGCTATGGTGGGAACTGGGCCTGCTCTCCTCCAGTGATCAGGCTTGTGGGGAAACCCCCCCCCCCCCCACAGCCATTCACTGGAAAGACCAATGTCCTGCTGTTTCTTCTCCCCTAGCTCTCTAAGATCCTTCTGCAGCTGAGTACAGAGGTTATATGATCACTTATTTTAAAGGGGGGAAAAGGTATTTATAATGTTTTTTTTTATATTGCCTTTAATTTCTATTTTAAACTGAATGAGTTGTTTTACAAGCAGAGGGTTCAATATTTATAATTATATAATTATAATATATACTAATATGTTCTAAAAGTATATTCATATACTTTAAGTGAGTTGATGAGCAGAAAAAACTTCAGCTTTAAGGTTTGGATACTTTAGTGCTTTAACCCACATTTCCACAGATATGGATTATTATTTTAGTCATTTTTCTTGAAATGTGAACCTTCAATTCAGACTTTAGACTAACTTGTTAACAGAAAAGGGAAAAGTAAAAATAAAATGGGAATAGAGAAGATGGAAACGATAAACATATAATTTCCTTGCCTTTTATCTGTATGATAAAGTGTAGTTGAGAGGATAAAGTCCATTTAGCATGAGTCCTCAGTGATGGTTGGAGACATGTCTATTCAGCTTAACTGCAGTAAATGCACATGGTGCTGCTGATTGTCACAATACACATTCCCAATCTTTCAGGGGAGCCAGTGCGGAAAGAATTATGGAAACTATCATTGCTGACTTCCTCTAAGAATATGGATTTCCTGAATGTGAATGGCTTTAGTACGAGTTAGTGACTTGTGACACGCATGCTCATGAAGTCAGAATATCTTATCTATACTTGTTCCAGGTCAGTGCCTCAGAGGACATTGGAACAGCGTGACACCCCCCACCCCCCCAAGGAACTAACATTTCAGAAAAGAGGTCAGATGAAAGATCAGGTAGTTATTTCACATATACTGCCTGCTTGAAGAATAAGGCATGCAGCACTGAACCATTCAAGCCCCAGACTTTATTGCCAACTTTTAAAATTGCAGGGAAAAGCACAGTAAAATCAAGGATTTGAAAAACTAACTTGTAACGTTTTCCTTTTGTATAAATCATGTTTTATTAACTTGTAGTGTGTCTCTGAACTTGCCAAGAAGTTTGGCCAGTCAGTTCCCTAGCAGAGTCCCTTCCCTCCTCTTCTGGGAGTGTCTAATTACTATATGTGCTGGCCCAGCTCCTCTATCCCTCCCTTTTCCACCCCACATAACCTTTAATGCAGCTGCCGGGGAGGAGGAAGGTGTGAAGCAAAGGAATCACTTGAATGACAGCTCTGAGTCTGCTGGAGCTGCTACCTTCACATTCAATAAGGCAGCACCCAGCAGTAGTCTCAGGGCTTTAGGATGTCTACACAAGGAAGGCCTTTACAGATAAATAAAATATGTTAAATACACATATGATCTTATAGGAAGATTGTTGGAATTAATGGTCTGGTTACAGGATCTTTCTAAGGTGGCCAGGTCTGGGGCATATTTATTGATTATTATTACACAGGATTTATATAGCTCCAACAGTTTGCTCAGCGCTTTACAATATAATAGCAGACAATACAGCAACAATACAGTTCAATACAAGAGGGATAGGAGGGCCCTGCTCCTTGGAGCTTACAATCTAGGAGAGATAGCAAGCACATCCACCTGACTAGATTTACTCAACACATACAAGGAGGTTCTAAACTTTCCCAATAGTCCTTTAATGCTACACTCACAACAGTTTAGCCACAGATAGTTTTCTGCATTCAGAGGTGGATAAACACGGCCTCTGGACACACCAATACTCTGTGCTATGGCCGCATACAAACTGGCCAATTAGCTGCCGCCAGTTTATGTGCGGACAAAACTCTGCAGAAACACAGACCCTGGATTCACACTGGCTGTGTCCATGGATGGCTGGAGGTTCTGTTTACATGTAACCAATCAAATGAGTGGCTGCATGTGAACAGCGGTGGTGCCAGCCATTGATTCGTACAGAGTACATATCCGACTGTCACTACTGACAGCTGCAGCTGTTTGCACACACTGTGTATGCAGCATTTGCAAGAATCTGGTGCCCCTGGCTGCAGCTACACTGCCTTATGAATGGAACCTAAGGCCTAAATTTCTCATTTGAAAGGTGTCAGGTGTGCAAGAAATATGATAATTATTGATTTGCCTTCTCCAAATGTCAACATCAGGTAGGGCCTAACAAGTGGAACAGAATTCTAATTTGGATGAATGATAATGAGACTTGGATTTCACTTTGAAGATGCATAGTGGATGGACTTGATCCAGCGCTTGCTTTCAATCTGACCAGCCACTAGGTGGAGATCAATTCCACTGTCACTATTTAGGTCTGTTTAGGAACCAGGAATGGTTTTAGAGATATACATTGTTTGCTTTTGTGACAGGATAGAGGGAACATTTTCTGAACTTCTTTTCTGTACAAAGACACATTTAGTGCATTTTATTCTAACATTCAGCTTGAAATCAATTGGTTATATCTTTATTTTGTCTTAGCATGCAACATACTATTTATAGAAGGCATGCACATTTCTAGCATATTTTAGATTTTTTTTGTTACTCTGATTAGAATCAATTATTGACACACAACATAGACACACAAAATGTTTGTACTTTTACGCATGACAGTGTCATAGCTTCATAACCCCAACAGCACTAAGATTCTGGCTTCAGTCCCAATTGTCTGCATTTAGTTTATATGTTCTACTCATGTTTGCATGTGTTTTTTTTTCAAGTGCACTACTTTAATCCAACAATCTAGAAACATACTGCTGCCAAATGGGCCTTATTATGTGTATCCGATGTGCTAGTGTGCATTGGACAAGGATATTAGATTGTAAGGTAAGGTGACCAGATAACCCCTACCAACACCACCACCAACACCACCACCAACAATATTGGTGGTCAGGCTGCCTTGGGCTTGGTGTGGGTCACCTTGCCATAGAAAGGAACTCAGAAGGAGTTATGAGCTGCCCGGAGCACAATACCAGGCCCCTCTTAAAGCGGGGATGATTCTGGGGAGTTACACAGACAGGGACACTGCTGAATCCGGGGACAAACCAGGCACGCCTGATCAGCCTATTGTAAGACACACTCTTCAGTAACTGATATGTAAAGGATTGATGTACTCTGTAAAAAGCTACAAAATATGCTATAAGGGTTTTATGATCTTAAATAAATAACTAGCAATCTAATACAGCAAACATAGACTCATTATACACACATACTGTAAGCTGAAATACAGCACATTTCATCGAAAAAAGCATTTAAAATATATTTGAGCATGCAAGCAGTTTGTGTATGAGACTGTGAGTTTCCTTTTCCTTATCTACTTGCCTCCTTGTTTGTGTTTACTGGTATGAAGATGCTTGTCACAATGTGTAGCTCCCCACAACAAGGATGTGACAAAGAGAACGTGACAAAAAGAATGTCTGTAAAACTATTTGGATTTTGACATAGAACAGAACTTGTTTAACTGTGCATATGAAGTATTTATTTCCATTATACTGTATCTAAAGCAGTACTAAACCCAAAAGCAAACATTTATTATAATGCAGCTTACCAATTCTTTTTTTTTTTTTTTAAATCAGTTCTTTTTTTTATTGGTTGAAGTATGGATCCATGTACAGATACAATCAGACAACCACAATCTCCAAGGGAGTGTAGCCATAATATCAACAAATTACATCGTTATTACCAATTCTTAGATATGATGGCTGTATTATTTTCCTTTTTTAGGATTTCTTCTATTTTAATCTGGTGATCATGCCAGTAAGTCTGTTGTTTTCAACAGAACAAGCTCTGTTGCAGTTACAGGAATGAGACAAACAGGGGTGCTTACAATGATCAACTTTTATTTATTCATTTAAAAACATTATCCCAAAAGGAAAAAGATGTTTACTGTAACTTATTAAGTTGGAGCTGGAGTTTGGCTTCAATTTGTTTAGTGTATTTAAATACATTTAACACGACCCTCCCCCCAGACTGACAACGCTACTCTGCCTTGGGTGCTCCTTCATCCAGAGCTGTGTTTCACTAATACATGAGATGTGTTACTGGCCTGATCACCAGGTGAAAATAGAAGGAAGAAAGCTAAAGAAAAGAAAACTAATGCATCCACCTCATCTTTATGACTGGTAAGCTGCAATATAATACATTTTGGGTTTAAAACTACTTTAAAGGAGTTTTCAATTTTATGTAACGTTAAACCTCACATTTAGGATACAGTATTCTGGATAATAATACATCAGGTAACTCTGTGATTATTTGGCTCCCATAGAGAAACAAGGACAGACACAGTTACAATAATTAACAATATTTATTTTCAACAGGAATCATAGCATGTTACAGAGGTCCAGCCTTATCTCACTGCTCAGTGAAAAAATAATGAATTTTGTGAAAGAGAATAAGATTTACAACTTCTACCTACCGGAACTGGAAAGTGTACCCTCCTTACTTACGGCAGCTACAAATCCACATCACAGCACAGAGGTCTGTACATGATTCTGTGGGTCTCTCATATTGCTGTTGTAGGGTTCTATTCTAGACTTGACACCGTTCATTCTCTTGGCTTCTGTTACACTCAAAGAGAAAGTAATGTTCCTGCATTCTTTTATACAACCGCAAAAAGTTATTAACTGCATTTTCTTTAAAGTGTTACTAAACCCACAATAGTAAAATCAGTCTGTATATGCAGTAAAGCATGCTTGTTATACTCACTGTGGAACCTAGAGGGTGAATCCGTTGTATTGTGTAAAAAGGCCATTTGATCCTGACTTCTCTGTTGCTCATCTTGTCCAAATACCCACGTCTTATCTCCTGATAAGACAGACTGAACCACAGCCATTCTGCACATGCTCAGTTTAGTGTGTATTGCTAGAGATATTTTTTTTCTTCTTGGGAGAGTGCATGTGATCAGCACAGGGCCAATCAGTACTGTCAAGACAGAGGGCAAGGGTTTTGCATCCTCCTAGAGCAGAAAGAAAAGTCCTACAAGTGTTAACCAGTGCTCTACTGAACACTGATAGAAGTCACAAGACTACATGCTCGGAGCCTATAGCTTCTTCTAATGAATGCGGTCTTATTATATTGAGCCTAAGTAATAATATGGGTTGGACTACAAATCTCAGCCACAATAAACAATGTAAAATGTATGATAAAATGAGTATGTATTTCAATCTCTTCATTCAGTGCTCCAGGGGTAAGGATATTAAGGGAATAAATCCAGTGGGTTTCTTGCTGGCATAGGTGTGAATTGTTCGGCTGTAGGTAGGGATTTGGGAATACCTTCTATGATCCATACCTACAGACCTGCAGTGGATTTAAGGTGACATTCAAGGAAGTGTCTGGGAACGCTATGTTTATTACTTCCATCTTATATCAAGCGCCTATGCTCACCAAAACGTTTCCGTAGGGTTCTGATCATTCTGCCTACATATAGAAGCCCACATGGCAGGTAAGACAGTACACCACATACTCAGTGGAACAATTATAGAAATCTCTAATGGGGTAAGTATGCCCTTTAGTAGTGAATGATTTCTGGCCATGTTGGATAAATTGGCAAGTTAGACATAGTTTCTTCTTGCATTGATACATGGCAGTTAATGGAATAAGTGTGGTAGGTCTTATACAGGTGTCAGGAATGTTTTTCATCTTGGAGAAAAAAACAAATAGAGAGTGCACCAGCCTAGTGCATTACCTTAAAAAATGTATTTAATAAATGATAAAAGTAGGTATTGTACTCACACGTGCACAAGATTAAACAGTTTATCAACTGTGGTACTACTTTTGTCATTTTATGGGCTCATTTGCCCTTGTGGTCTCCTATATGTTGGCCGGACCATACGTCCTTTGAGAGTTAGGTTCGGTGATATATGATCGATATATCGACCATAATACACAATATGGGCAGCATGTGGACTATTGTGGGTAATGTATAAGTGTTCCCAGTAACCCATGGTCAAGTTTACGTAATTGGGGGCAAATTAGCCCCCATGGCTGTGCCATTTGTCTGAAGAAAATAAGTACCATCAAATTCGAAATAATTGTGTTGAAGACAGAAACATGTGGCTTTGAGAATAAACTGGGCTTGTTTTGGATTCATGAGGGGGTCTTTGGCTAGAAAGTGCTGAACGGTCTGAAGGCCCATGTCATGTTGGATGAACCTGTATAATGATGTTACGTCCAATGAGACCCATAAGTATGAGGTTTCCCACAAGTATGGGGATAACATATCCATGAGGTGTATACGATCCCTAATATATGAGGGTAAGTTCTGGGCTAAATTGTTGCAAGAAGTGCTCTGAGAGGCTAAGCCAGCTGCTGATCAGGCATCTGGATGGATCTCAACAATTTGGTCAGGACCCTTCCAGAGCTTGCCGTGGCTCTGTGATGTTAGCTGACAGAGGACTTTAGCTTGCTGTTGGCTGATTCTGGGTCACAGAAGAGAAGTGTTGCCAAAAAAGTTTTGGCCATACTTTTTTTTTTTTGAGTAACTGCTCTTGATTAATTGTGTAGCACCCTCTTATAGTTAGGGTGCTAGGCTAAATTTAGTTTTTGGGTCCACTGTAGTGAGTGGGGCAATGATTTATTAGTTTTGTCAATTAAAGGTTTGGGAGGCCTTGCAAGGGTGTTCTTTCCTCTTCAGGGAGGGTTCCAGTCCCCCTGGGGCTGCTGCTCCTGGGAGATAGCTAGTGAGACAGAAATTGCAGTCTGGGCCTCAGCAGGATCTGGGCTGGGGGCCTAGAGGAGACTGCTAAAGAATTAATTAGTTGGAGGGCATCATCCTGCAGTCCTGGTCTGGAGAAGGATCTCTCATCTCTCTCACTGTGGATCTACCTATGGATGTCAACTCCTGGGGCATTGTGAGTAAAGACCTTGCTGTGGCCAGAGGATGTTTATATGGACAGGGACTGCTCTTATAGAGGCCTAGATATACTGGGTATTCCCTGTTGCCTCCAGGAAAGGCTGTTATAGAGAAAATTAGTGAGAAGTTTATTCTCCCATTGATTGCTATTAACGTTTGGAGTAACCTAGGACCCTAAACCCTCTCCTGTTCAATCTGAGTGTGTTTCACAGGTGGTGAGGAGGCAATATCTTGCCTCCTCACCACCTGATTTAAACCCATGATCTCCACCTCTTTAAGGTTGCCTACCCCTGCTCTAGACTGAGCCTGAATTGTCAGTGTGCATGGAACTGTGCTTGTAACTGGCAGCCTTTTCAGTGGCCCTTCCAGGTGTAAGTGCAATAATTGTAAGGATGAGTATCCATTGCCGCCAGTCATCTTCTAATGTTTTAACTACTACACACAATAGAATCCATTGCCGCCAGTTATCTTCCATTGTTTTAACTACTACACACAATAGTAAGCTGAAATGTGATTGGTTGCTGTGGGTTACCACACTTGGCACATCATCACTGCATTGCTGTACTATAAACGTATAAGTATCTTTATATCAGTGAAGTGTTGTGTTTGTTTTGCAGGGTGACTCAACCAATACTCCCAGTTCCAGAGAAATTCGCAGCTTGTTCAAAGAAGCCATATATATGCTACAAAAAAGAGGCATTGTTTACCAGAAAGGCCAAAGCAAAGATGTTTATTATGTATGCAGATTCCATAAGTACAAGTTAAATGGGCATTAAAATTCCATAAGTAACATTTTAAAAAGCATTCAAAGCAGAACATCTGTTGTTATATTTATACTTTTACTTTGTTATTTTATGTATCTTTTTTATGTTTACCATGTGCCTTAGTTGGTTTGTAGTTTCCAGATGAGATGAAGATATCAACAAAGACGTTTACTGCTTAGTGTACATTTGATCATAGACCACTTGATAACAGCAGGTGATCCTGTAGATTTTGTGCATCACATGTGATTGTTGGACCATCACTGCGTTACAAAAGAGGGATTTTGAATGACTTAGGTAGTTTGAGTCATTTGTTAAAGCACATGGAGATTTTGAAGCTTGATGGAAAATCTAAACAAGCATAAGCAGACAAAGTGGCAGTAAACCGCATTGTTCTGCAGTACCGTGCTGATTAGTGTAGTGCAATTTTAAGAGTAGTGAAAACACCATTTTTCCCGCGGTCTGGTGCATTTTGCAGCCTATTCAAATGCAGCCCATTCCAATCGCACAGGATTTCCTTTTTATTACTGCTGTGATCTGGTTTTCTGTTGGCGGGTGGCTACATTCTCTATTCATGGTCTTACTGTATGTAGGAAAGTACATTCACAAGTAGGACTATGTACTATGGGATGTGTAGTGTGCACAGAGTAGTGTACATGACCAGTGCATGGACTATATTTGGAGAACATTGTGTAGTATCAGTAGGGAAGTAGGGAATATTTATTTTGAAAAACCATACTTAACTAGGTGGATGCAGCATCAATCCCATGCTGCATTAGTCCCCTGCCGGCTCTAAGGCTGAGAACTGAGCGATCAGACACCACTGACTTGCTCATTCGGCCTGCCGCTCTGAGCGGAGAGCTGTCAGTGACTGCTGTCTGCTCTGCCCCCCACCCCCAGTGCTCACTAGAGTGCTAGGCTGTGGAGAGGGCAGGAGTGGCTGTCTCAGGCTCTCATTGGCGTGCTGAGAGGCTGAGCCAGCTGCTGATCCAGGCATCTGGGTGGATCTTTCCCAAACCTGGAGAAGATGAGTGATGTCGGCTGACAGCAGGCTTTAGCCAGCTGTCAGCTGAAAAAGTGTCACGGGAGTGCAGAATGAACTGCACTCCTGGGATTGACAGGAGGAATACTGCCAAACGAGCTTTGGCTGTACTTCTGCATAAAAGCTGTACTGTGTAGATTATTTTATCTATGAAGAAATTAGGTGGAGTCAATTATTGATAAAGCGAGGGCTGTTCATCTTGTTTGGCTTTCTAAATACTGTGGAATGTTGCAGGAAAAGTTTTTCTTTATCAACTAACAGCTGCCATTTAATTACATTTATTCTTAGGATGCCTATCATTTTATTGAATTTAATATTAGAAAATCTCCCTGCCTGAGAACAGAGCGTTCCCTCGAATGTGGAATAAAAGTTCCATAACTGCAACTGTTGCCATCAGACAAGGATCATAGTGTCATGTTATTCATGTAGCAATATCTGCCTATCTATAGCAAACGTATTTTATATTTACACAGAGAATTCCAGCTTTAAATCATGTGAATTCGTACACTTTAAATGTAAAGTATGAAAGCAAACACAAGCTTCAGCAAATGAGGAAAAATAATTTAGAGGATGTGGTTTACAGGAAGACTGCTCTTTTTTTCAGGCACAGCATAGACAATGCAATGTTTTGTACCTCTAGATGTTTATCTTTAGACTAGTTAACAAATACTTCTCATATTTTGCAAAGACTCCTTTCATCTTGTTTGATTTTATTTCCACCTAAAGATTTAGGCTTCCTGCCAGTCTTTATTAAATATGTTGATTGTTTTTTTGTTTTGTTTTTTTAAGTATAACCATTCTGTTACTATATTGTACTTGTTTTGTTTTTCAAAATCTGTTCAGCCTGATAAATGAATGTATACATGTTTGTTCAGATATGTCTGTGTGATTTTAGGTTTTCTTTACAAATGTACTGATATAGGTTCTCTATGACGATAAGATAAGGTCTTGGCTTCATATCAAATTTGTACTCACCTTAGGCCTCATGCGCACTGGACGTTTAGCCCCAATGCATGAGATCCCAGTGTTTTGATGTGGGTGGAAGGCACAGGCACACCGTCCTGCCCCGCTTCCAGCAGCCTGTAAAACTCTACGGGAGGCTGACAGCTGCTGCGGCTGGATGGTGCACAAAATGGTACTAACATTTTAGGCAGTATGTGCCCAGGGATGAATGCCCAGAACACAGACTGCTTGCATTCTGGACATCCATCCCTCAGAACATAATGTTATAAATGTTAGTACTTACTGCACCATCCAGTTGAAGCTGCTGTCAGCCTTCCATAGAACTTGCGGCAGCAGGGCTGAACAGTGCGCCTGTGACTTCCACCTGCACCAAAGCACTAGGATTTCATGCATCGGGGCTAAATGCCCAGTGTTCATGAGACCTAAAGTTTACGTATAGCTCAAACTTTGTTTTGTTTTGGATAAAGTAGAGAAGAATTTAAACCCCCATAAGTTTATTTTTTGGCCATCTCTGTCCCATGGTGTGGGGGTGGGGGGAGATTTCATTTAATTTCCTATCCTGGACATGCAACAGATAGAGGAAATCTCCACATAGTGAGGGAATTCCCCTTTTAAACTGTTGTCACTGGGACAGGTGTTCCCATGGAAAGATTTACCCCTAGCTTGGTGACTTCTGTAAAATATTGGATTTCTCTCCGCAAAGGAGAAAAACCACCTCCCAACTATCTAGTGGGGGGTAGATATATGGGACTTTAAATGTGCCACATAGAGATCCCATACATTAATAAAACTTCACAGCCTTTATTGTACAATTAAAACACCAGAGAGAAAAAAGGCATTAACTCTATATGGATTGTATGCTAAAGTGGACATAGGACCATACAGTATATGTAATGATTTCCTGTGCCGCATATAGGACTGACGCATCTCACAAATTACTTGCTTCCTCAGGATCCAAACCTTTTACATACACAGCAGATGATCCATTCTAAAAATATTAAGTATAACATACTTTGAAAAATACATAATATAACCAAAAATATAATACATGTATGTATCATGTTGCCCAAAATATATTACCAATATATTGTTAGAATTTGGTAATATATTTTGGGCAACATGTTACTTGCATGTATTATATTTTTGGTTATGTTATGTATTTTTCATAGTATGTTATACTTATTCTTTCCAGAATGGCTTATCTGCTGATGTGGATCCTGAGGAAGCAAGTCATTCATGAAACGTGTTGATCCTATATACCACACAGGAAATTATTACTTATACTGTATGGTCCTATGTCCACTATACTGTATGGTCCTATGTCCACTTTTGTATATGATCCATATTGGGACAATATATTTGTATCTCTGTCTGTTTGGTGTTTTAATTACACATTAGAGACTGACATTTTATTCATGTATGGTATCTCAATGTGGCACATTTAAATTCCCTTATATCTACCCCATTAGATAGCTGGGAGGTCTTTTTTTTCCTTTGCAGTTAGATTGAAGGACGCTGCCCATATAATAATACAAATATAGTACAGGATCCACCCACCATTTACTCTGGGATACTGGATTTTCTCTCCTTCTGTCCCAGATGCAATAGTCATGGGGACAAATAGAGAAGATGAGCAGCAGGGACGCAGCACAAGGAATTTGACAAGAGTTCATATTCTTCATTACTGTATGTAAAGATTATAATCAAAGTTTTGGTGATGTATATACTTTAATTGTATGGTATTTCCTATGTATCTGAGCTTTAACTGTCCTTTGTATTCATTTCAGGTAACAGATCATGACAAAGAATTACAAAAATTAACTTTGAATGTTATTAAACAGGACTGCAGTAGGCAAAGACGTAAGTGTGTTCTCACTTTTTCCTCAATGTAATATTGTGGACATACAGTATTTACAGACAGACTGCAGAGTAATTTGCAGTTACCTGTAGCAAAAATAATTTGCCTGAACAGTAAAAGCTTCTAAAAATAAATTTACAAATGGCTGGTACATATAAAGGAGTTCTATGGTGACAGCACACATTCATTTTATAACATACGTACTGTAATAATAATACAAAGAATAGTTACATTTGACAATTCAATATACGCTTACTTGAAAAGTCTCCTTCAAGTCCATGAAGGGGCATAAAAACTTGCTGCTTCTAGAGGAGTTTAGCGTTTTGCCTGTAGAAGCAGCTCAATATTATCATATGTGTCCATGCACATTAGTATGTTCAGAGGCATATTTTAAGCTCAGCATTTAGTGGCATAATAAAAAAAAAACCCTTCCTGGTTAGCATTTTTTTTTATTCTGTCAGAAAATCGCTCTCAAAAAAATGCAAAGGCTCCTAAAAACAACATGGTAGTACAAAAAAAATGCTCAAAATTTATGTTTTTATTTCTCTGCCAAGGGCACTGGCATTTTTTTTTAAGCCAGTGTGCATGGAACCTTCATGTTTTGAGTGCGGCCTGTCTGCTGCCCATATCTTTCCACAACTTCTTGTATTCCCTGCACGCTTCTCATATGCTGTTTACTTTCAATTTCTAAAGACTACATATACCTACATGGTACCTTGCTGCCTTCAAGCATTGATTCCTGTACTGACTGTGCCTCCTGAAGCTCTTCCTCTTTGTAGTTCAGAAGACAGGCTCCGATAAATGTGTGGCACAGCAGTGCCTACTCAAAAAGCATAATGAATAGGTGTCACAGGATTCAAGGAAGTGAATTTGTGGGGATCGTCAGAAAGTATGTTTCAAAGCTTCAAGAATGTTCAGATTAATAGGATATTCTAGAAATAATTAAAATACAATGTGGAAATTAATATATGATCTTACATTTTTACTGTAGAAACATATTAAACTTTTTACATTGTTCTGTGAAGAAAAAAAAAGTCTAATGAGGTCACTTCTCAAAACTAACCGCTAGAGGTCACCATATGACAAAGTTCCCATGTCTGTTGCATCTCACAATGACTTCAAAATGCTTATATATATAACTTGCAATTGTAGCTAGTGCTATAGTATTAAGGGACAATTTTTGGAAATGACACCAACATTTGTGACCTCCCATTATTCTTTTCTTAATCCAACAAGGTGTTGAAACATTTTTATTCAAAATGGTAACTTTTTAATTGGAATTCTGATAACATGTGTGACTTCCTAGTTCAGTTCTTGTTTATTCAAGATTAACCATGGCATAAGCACTTATAACAAAAGCAACACATGGCAAACTGTTCCAAAATATGAGACAGAACATACAGACAAAGTAGCATTTCAACAAGCCTACAGCAGAGGGAGCATTTGCTTTATGTTATTTTTTTATGTGGATGGGTAGAATTCTGTTGCATGTGGTGTTTTCGCACTTACTGAATAACTTTCTAGGTAAGACAATTTTTCCATGCTTTATTATTATTATTATTATTATTATACAGGATTTATATAGCGCCAACAGTTTGCTCAGCGCTTTACAATATAACGGGAGACAATACAGCAACAATACAGTTCAATACAAGAGGGATAGGAGGGCCTGATCCTTGGAGCTTACAATCTAGGATGCTACAGTGTTCCAGTATTAGGTCAGAGTAATGGATACCTCAGAAATACTATTTCTACAGCTATAAAACAGATATTTTCTCTAACAGGGTTAATCTATAAAGAGTTCTTATTCTTAAAGTTGAACTAAAGTGTACTTTTAAAAAATGCCAATAGATAAGCTTTTATGGCAGAAGAGACGCTATGGGGAGATTTACTAAAACTGGAACACTCAGAATCTGGTGCAGCTGTGCATGAAAAAACCAATCAGCTTCTAACTTCAGCTTGTTCAATTAAGCTTTGGCAAGAAAACCTGGAAGCTGATTGGTTTGTCTGCAGAGCTGCACCAGGTTTTGCAAGCTCCGGTTTTGCGTCTCTTCTAGAAATTTTCATCTGAGAATACTCATGCACTGACCAATGTACATTCTTGGCATGTCTTGGGAGCCTAGAATTAATGACTGTGTAAATGTATGAGAGTTACATCACTCGAAGTGTTTCTTTAATGATCCAGGTGGGAAGGTTAAAGGTTGAATAAGGGAAGAGGTTTTAGAGCTTGGGTGAGGGAAGGGTTGAGCTAGGGTCAGATTAAGGTTAGGAATGGGGGCAGAGGGGGTGCATTCCTTTTTTCTTATTTTTGATGCTGTAAAGACATTTTGAGGCTCTACTATAGAATTCTGACATATCTCCCTGTACAGGGAACTGCAGTTGGTGCATACAGCTGGCCATAGAAGTGAATGCAGCCGTACTTTGGCATATGCCAATGCTTTTGTACATTAGTATAAACACACGTATGTGCATATAATTTATTGTTATTTATTTATTGTACTTATATAGCGCCGTCAATTTACGCAGCGCTTTACATATATGTTGTACATTCACATCAGTCCCTAACCCTCAAGGGGAATACACAATCTAAGGTCCTAAACTCACATTCATACATACACATACTACGGCCAATTTAGACAGGAGCCAATTAACCTACCAGCATGTCATTGGAGTGTGGGAGGAAACCCACGTAGGCACATGGAGAACATGCAAACTCCAGGCAGGTGGTGCCGTGGTTGGGATTCGAACCTTAGTGCTACCAGGCAGAAATGCTAACCACTTAGGCACTGATGAATCAATTAATTAATTATTTTATTTCAGGTACTTATATAGCGCCGTCAATTTACGCAGCACTTTACATATATAATATACATTCACATCAGTCCCTAACCCTCAAGGGGCGTACAATCTAAGATCCCTAACTCACATTCTTATACAAGGGCCAATTTAGACAGGATCCAATTAACCTACCAGCATGTCTTTGGAATGTGGGAGGAAACCGGAATACCCAGAGGAAACCCACGCAGGCACAGGGAAAACATGCAAACTCAAGGCAGGAGGTGCCGTGGCTGGGATTCGAACCAACGACCCTAGTACTGCCAGGCGGAAGTGCTAACCATTTAGCCACTGTGCTGCCCATGAATCAGTATACATGTTTATATAGGATGCTTAATATGAGATAATATATTTTGGGGTAAAAAAGGACCTCTTCCATGGCTTGAATTAAAAAAAATGCTTCTCTATGCTCTCTATATCTGAAAATTATATATATAACTTACATTCATACATACACATACTAGGGCCAATTTAGACAGGATCCAATTAACCTACCAGCATGTCTTTGGCATGTGGAAAGAAACCCATGCAGGCACAGAGAGAACATGCCAACTCCAGGCAGGAGGTGCCGTGGCTGGGATTCGAACCAATGACCCTAGTACTGCCAGGCTAGAAGTGCTAACCATTTAGCCACTGTGCTGCCACAATTTATCCTCTGAATGTGGAAATTCTGCATTTGGCGAATACATCATGAACATGCACTTGTTTATACCAATGCACAAAAGCATCAGGGTATACTAGAGTATGGCAACGTACAGCCATTCACTTCTGTGGATGGCTGTACACGTCAACTGCGGCTGCCCAGACAGGGAAAATAATCCAGAATTCTATGCTAGAGTCTCAAAATGTTCTTTTTTTCTGTGCACAGAAAATGCTGAGATTTTACAATAGAGCCTCAAACATCCATATACATGAGACCTTAACCCCACAACGAAACCAATGCTCCAATCTGATCCTTGGCAGGCAAAGCTGCTCAAAGACATTCGCGTAAGCAAAATGACCTCCAGACTCCAGCTGTATTGGGATGAGGCTTGCATATGTGACCAGCTGCCTGAAACATAGGATGAATCATAAAAACCTAAAGACTGTACACACAGTGGTGGGGGAATTACTGTACATACATCACTGTTCATATCAGATACTGGAGGATACAAATGAGACCGTCTATTTCCCCACAGAATCCAGACATTCTCCTGTTGTCAGAATGAAGTTACTCACAAGAGTTATCATCACAAGTTGCTTCTATATATATTCAGCAATGAGAGGCACGCACATGAAACAGGCGCAAGGGTGTATAAGCACTTTATTAGGTTTGACTGACGCCTGGTTGCCAGGCATCATAAGGGCTTGTACGGTATTGTTGGAATGAGCTGGTAAATCTGTGTAGCTGCTGCAGACACCTATGGGCTACAAGTATGTCAACATAAAATAAAACACATCTACAGTGGTAATTATACCTACAGACCAATCTGCCATCCCACCACTCTAGTTAACACTTTTTTTTTTCACTTTCACCTTTTTTACACTTCAAGTGTATAGCCATTTTTGTTTCTTTATTGGATAGTGTTTGGAGGGATTAGAACCACTGTCTGCTGTTTATTGCGGTTTGTGGCTCTGCTGGATAGATTCACCTTCTTCATTTGTCCTGAATAACATTGTTCACAAAAATAGACAGTGATGGGAAATCCAAAATTTACAGTTGTCACTAAACAAGAGGCAAGGGTAAAAGTGACCTGTTCCAGGGACACCTGTCTAAGGCTCCGTCCACACGGAGCAGACTCCGCCTGGAGTCCACTTGCTTAGTGGGGAATCTGGCCACTGAACCCCACCGAGCGGATGGATGGTCCATGTCTGCCCAGCATAAGCAGAGCGGATACAGACACAGCCCGCTGTTTGTTATTGGCAGTCAGATGTAAATGGACTCTGCCTGTTTACTCCTGACTGCCATCTGATCCATTCTACTCGACATATGGGGAATGGATTCCCATCCATCTCTTTTTAGTGGATCGGATTGGATGTAGGTGGGTGTAAATAGACACAAGTCCGTTTACATCCGCTGCTCCATAGTGGAGAATGAAGGGTCTGATCGGGTCTGTCTAAATAGGCAGACCTGATCAGTCTTCCCTTTTGAAAGGGACCTTAAAGCATAGTTTGTAGAGATTTAAGC